GTCCCTCGAATTACATAATATTGGTGATTATATCAACGTCGATCTGTGAACTTATGATTTTTGACACTTGCGGGTCTTTACTTTATAGTAGTAAATATTAAACATCAGTGTGGTTGGAAAAGCTGGATCAGGGTGTACACAGAGTGTCTGATCAGCTGATGTATCTAGACTGTCAAGGAACAGGTATAAATATTTAATTTATTGTAGGTGCCGTAAATTCATTGCGGACATTCGCGGTCTATAGATGCACGACAATTGGACACGTTGGACATTTTGTCGTCCGTAATATTATATAAGATGTTAACAATAAAGGACTATAAAATACGTTTGTGATATTATTTATATTGTCAATCCACAAGAAATTTGTGACGAAGAATAGTTTATGCTAGAAGGTTGATTAACTGTTCGTTATTTAAGCCGTATTCGCAATTGCATTAGACGTTTAGTGTGTTGTATTCATACTAATAAATATTCCTCTATAATAATACAATTAAGAAGTTTCAAGTATCCACGAATAATTTTTTAAATTATAACAAAATAACTAAAATTGTAATTCTTGGTTATTTAATATTTAATTTTATCCAAATTTTAACTTAAAATAACTATAAAAAAAAACTGTGTATATATTTTTCAGATTTTTTGGATACAGAATTAACTACTTACGTGGAACTTTATTTTATATTTATTTTTTAATCCTGAACTATAAAAGTTGAATATTTTGTACATTTTAAATTACTAAATAAGTTGTACGTTTTCAATTTGATACATTTCATCAACATTTGAACTTTAGATACCAATAAAAAAAAACGTGACTATGTATTTTTAATTTTTTTTCAACTATACTGTCATAAAAATATATCAGGAGCATTGCATTAAATGTTCAAGCTATTTGACCCAACAAATACAATTTTGTAGACAGATAGATAAAAAAAAAACTAAAAAAATTGAAAATATTCGTAACCAGCTCAAAACAAGTCAAATTAAGATTTTGAAAATTGTATAAAGTATAGAAAATGATAAAATTAACATTTGGAATACATTTCAAGTACCTTCGGTTATTAGTTATAGAATAACAACAAAATAAGAAAATTGGATGATAATAAATTGTTAATTTACGGGTAAACAATATCCAATGTTATAGATACGATCGTAAATATTTAATTTAAAACTTATTTTTTATGTTAAATCTTGTATTACATTTTCAAAACTTAAATTTTATATAATTTTAATAATGAATTCTGAAAACATCATTTGTATCACTGTAGGTCCATACATACACACAAATACACATCTATATAATTCCGAAATTTACGACTTGACTCTTTGGACTAGGGTTTTTTTAAAAATATTTAACACATAATACGACTCACAGTGGTCTGAAACGTTATTTTAGACGCTCAAAAGTCCTATTTCAAAATGTGTTAAAAAAAAAATGTCAAAATTACATAATCATAAGTTTCTTAGCTCAAATATAAAATTTCACAATCACTCATTTATTTTTACCTTGATAATTACTATTTGAACATGGAAATTGTACGTCTTGGACCTTTTTTTTCGTTATTTTTAATGAAACTTAATATTTTATTTATCAGGGAAATATATTTATTTTTTTTAAATTTTAAATATTATGTTTTTTTTAAGTGTATTTATGATAAAAGACGGATAAAAAAATATTTATTAAATTTTTTTTTTTTGATAACACGAAGTTATTTGAAAATATTTGAAATATTTGCATTGTTTTTTGTATTTTAGCGTGCTAATGAAAATTAATCAATTTTACCCAAAATCTGATGTATGCATAAAATAAAGCAAGTTCTCAGGATTTTGGAAAAGTAATTTTTACGACGTTTTTAGACTAGAAAAACGTCTACAAAATGTATGTAAACAAATACAAGTGGGCAATGTCAGTGCGTTAGATTTTTTAACAGCCGTAAGTCATAACATAAGAAAGAAGTGTACCTAATTAAAATATTAAATTTGTATAGAATTATTAATATAATTATATAATTACTATAATTGTATTTATTATTGTATTACATTTTATTATTTTGGTCTTTTATTTTATTTTATTTTGTTATATTTTAAATTTAGTACGTGATTTAAGTAAATAATTAAGTATTAACAATCATACATTTTGTATGATATTATATGATTTGTATAATTTGCACATTGAATGTATTTTTCAATACAATTTTAACATTATGATATATTTTCATTCTTTTTTATCGGAACTTTATTTTCCTGGCGTGTGACTTTTTTCCGTGATTCCATAATACAGGGTACCTACTATACTAGTTTACATTAGACAATTAGGCATTAGCCTAGTAGCCAGCCCATAAACACAAACGGCGATAAGTAGAAAGTAGTAGGCAGTTAGAAATTTAAAATTGTAGGGTGCCAATGTTAACATAAACACTGCTTTGGAAGGTGGGTGGTCAAAAGGGCCAGTTCTATTACAAAAATGTATAAACACAACCGGTAGAACATGTAAGTAATTATTTGAATGTTACTTCCACTCACTACAAATCCGGAATAAACATTTGAATGATCTTATATAGAATCATCAGACAGTGTGAGATGAAGAAACTCCACTTCATGTGAATTGAAAATGTATCTTAATTTTAAGAGTGCAGATCTTCAAGGACCAGGATGTGTAGATGTGAATTTGAAAGTAACAACATATACCTAGTTTAGACTTCAGACATTTAGTTACACATGAGTTATGGAAATTGGATTCATTAATTTTTGGATATTGAAAATAGCTTTATGATAAACATTAGTTAATAAATGTATTTTCTATCTAATAATTGTATTTTGTATTAAATTTAATTAAATAAGATTTTATATTTAACTTATGATTAATACCTACAACAAATAACTAAATTAATCACTACTACAATTTTAATAATCCAATACAAAATTGTTCTTTGCATATACATTTTTCTAAATCGAATAATATATTAATATTCAGAATACCTAATAATAAACTTTATATACCTAACGGAATATAATTCTAATTTAATTTTAAATTACATTGTAAAATATACATAATAATAATATCTATATATATAAAAATAAGTGTACATTTTGAATACATTTTATAACTCAAGATCCACCAAACCGATTTCGATAAAAATTTTAGGGCATATTAAGATTGATATGTAGATGGTTTTTGTAAAGTTTGTACGCGGTGCGGTAAGTGGTTCTGGAGGTATGACCTCTTAAGTGCACACCTGGCAATCACAACAAAATAACTAAAATAGTTATTCTAGGTTTTTTAATATGTAATTTCGTCCAAATTTGACTTAAAATGCTTATAAAAATAAACTGAGCTTATGTATTTTTTAGATTTTTTGGTAACAGAATTAACTACTTACCTACGCGGAATCTTGTTTTAAAATGTCAATTCTTAGATATAAAAGTTGAACATTTTATAAATTATTAACTACAAAATAATTATTAAATTTTAAATTTGATAAATTTTGTTAAAATGTGATCTTTAAATGCTTATAAAAAAAATTATGCCTATGTATTGGTCTCCAACTTAGGACTTTTTCTTAATGTTAGTAAAAATGTATGTAAAAATTAAATTACAGATTATCTGTGATTATCTTAGCGTAGGTAATATTTCATGATATTGCTATATTCCAATCAAATATAATATATTATACATTTATACATACATGTGGACTGTGAATTCAATATTGCATATTGATATTTGCTCTGGATCTATGCCTGATCGTACAATCGTACACATAACCATAATATACCTACTAAATAATTTTATATAATATGATCGTATAAATATAATTAACTGTGGCATGATTAGCTCAAGATTATTAGCTACACATGAGTAGTGTAATTTATTTAGTTTAAAACTTTTAAATTCAACCAGTCACTTTTCACTTTTTTAGTCCGTCCCACCCCTTTAAGCGTACAAGCATATATATGTCAGTTGGCATATTGATACATTAAGTATTTGAATTTAGCAGTTGGCACTCGGTAAATTATAATTTTTTTTTTTTACAGTTTTTAAATAATTATTTTGTATATACTACTAAGTCCAAATATATTATAATAATATATTGTAATTTATAATATTGCCAACTGTCCAACACAAATACTAATATAATATTTTAGACTTTACTACTTTAGTACCGATCAATGTATTATATATAATTCTAATAGTATACAAATTTGTCTATACATGTATTTCTTCTATTCAACCATTATTCACATTATTTTCTCAACCATTTAATAAAAGCAATATTTCATTGGATAGTGTAAAGAAATCTATTTCTTTATTCCCACCAAGCAGTGTAGGTGCAAATTTTCTAGGTTATGATTTAGTTCAAACAGAACTAGAAATATTATTTAGTATGTTACAAGAAGATAGAACATTACCATTTAATTCTTTAATGGGAAAAGCAGAAGAAGTAAAGTATACTTTACCAGTGTTATACATTTTGTTATTGAAAATATTTTATTCTAATACACTTATCAAGATATGATGAAAATACATATATGTATAAGAATTAAGAGATTGTAAAATGAAGGACATAATAAAATATTTAATTTGTTGTAATATTGTGTAAAATTTGTGTACAGACTACTATGCATGTAGACTGTATGTAGCAGTTAGTTGTCGAGCGAAGAGAGAAAATTTTTTTTTTTAGTTGGCAAATTATGAATCAAACCACCCCCCCCCTTATTTGTCTTTCGGGACGACCCTGCAGGCAGTCTGCTTATTGCTTTCTAGACTCTAGTAGAGTTTGATCGTTGCTTTATTACTTTTGTAGTGTACCTACAAGTGTGGTTATACCTAATGGTTATTTAGTTTACTATATATTAATAGTTTACTACAAACAAATCCCTGTTGTTGTCAAGACCCGCTATTTAAACACAATATAATATAAATCAATATCTATGTCTATACACTATAGCAACATAAAACATAAAAAAAATGTTGTAACTTTCTGTTGTGTATCGTTAAATTTTAAATGTCTAGTTTTTATAGCAGCAGTCAGCGCCTTCAGTCAAATGTTTGCAGTTACAGATATCCATCTTACCTGATGAAGGTGTCACCACCTCAAGTGGGCCCGAACTTCGACCCAAACAATATGTTATTATTGCCCAAAATATGTAACAAATATTATGTGAGAAAAAACAACAATTCTGTTATGGACAACAATCATTATGTTGATGATTTGTCTGTAAAATCCACTGTGGAACTCAACGACACTACCTCAATGAAACTAACTGGCAATGAATTCAAAATGATGAAAAAAGCCACTGATGATTATGGTGGCTTTGAAAGTTGTAGTAATCATAGTTTTGGAAGTTTCAAGAAATCAACCCATTCCAATTTCAGATATCCATCCTACCTGATGAAGGTGTCACCGCCTCAAGTGTGCTCAAACTTTGACTTGAATAATATGTTATTATTGCCAAAAATATGCAACAAGTACAGTGTAAGAAAAAACAGTAACTCTGTTACAAATAAAACCTATTGTATTGATGATTTGGCTGCCAAATCCACAGTGGAACTCAATAACACTACCTCAATGAAGCTAACTGGCAATGAATTCAAAATTATGAACAAAGAAATTGATAATTATACTGGCTTAGACAGCGGTAGTCACAATAGCTTTGAAAATGTTCAACAATCCGCCTCTCATAGTTTTACATATCCATCTTATCCAATGAAGGTCTCAACGCATCAAGTGTGCTCGAACCTTGAAAATATGTTAATGCAAAACAATAAAAAAAAAAATGGTACAAAAAAGAGCAGCTCTACTATGATGAAAAATAGTCATAATTATTTTGATAGGGTGTGTGTAAAATCCTCTTCAGTGGACGTAAAATCGTCAAATCTAAATGACAACAAAATTAAAACAACTAACACACCTAAAGATATCAATCAGAAAAACAACTGTTTAACTTTGACCAAAAATGATTTAAAAACAGAAGGTGTCATGAAAATGGAAAATAGTAGAAATCTATGTAAAATATTTACTGATTTTGACAACCAAGTACCATTTCCAACTAAAGTTGATGAGGTCAAATTGTTCAAAATATGTGGAAAATGTCATAAGGGCTGTTCCGTTGATAATTTTGACTGGGAAAAAATCTCAAACACTGATAGGATTAAATTGTTGGAAATAATTAAACAAAATTCAAAAAACCAAGTATCCTATTCCATCTTAAGAAACTTATCCAATAATAACTCAAATCAAAATTTGTCCATCAGTAAAACAATATGTCCAGACAAGACGCAGGATAGTATCTCAATCTAAACATAGTAAAAGTTCCCTGACATTTGGATTTAACGAACTTCAAAATATTTTTGTTTATATGTCATTATTCTGTTATTAAATGTAAGTTGCAATCATAGTGAACAAGTTAAAAAAACAATATAATATAATATTATTTAATATTTTATCAAATATGTTATTATCAGTATAATACAATTCATTAAATCATATTAATAGGTAGGTATACTAAGTAGTAGGTACAATAAACTATTTCTAATGTATAAATTGTGGCTTTAAAACAATCATCTTTATACAAGGAAGGAAGAAAGGGGTCCATTTATTCTTATAAGATACTGGGTAGGTACTTAAATTAATGTAATTGTTATAAATAACTTTATAAGTTTAATTTTACAATACTTGTAGTTCATTAACAATACAAATTTGCAAGAAGCCATTTTTTAAACCCTACATTGTGAATTAGTGAAGAAATATATTGATTCAATAATATTCTTAATTTTTTGTCTAAAATTTAAATGAATACATTTTTTCATGTAACAAACCTTTGTTTAGTGTAAAGACCTTTGGCATAACAACAAATTATCAAGATTACATGCCAATCATAGTTTAATATGTGATGGAGTTGATAAAAATAATTTTGTAAGAAAAAAATATGAATTTATGAAGTAATCTTATAATTAACTTTTGTTCACTAAATAACATTACCTATTACCTAAATATTACCTAAATATTACCTAGGTATATGATATGATAAAAAAAAATACCTATAATTTTACCCATAAAAACTATCTTAGTATCTTTCTATCTATTATATTTTTGTCCACATTTTGTTTCAAACAAAATAAATAATATTACAATTTTATGTTACTGTGGTGATAGGTTGAAAATGATAATTTATTCGGATCTGTAAAGAATTCATTTAGATTTTAGGTAATTATGAAAATAATAAAATATTAAAATGTCATATCAGAGTAGATAGGTACTCAAATATATATAAAATACTAAATAGTAATAGCGTTAATATTGTAGTTATTTCGTACCTATTAGGTATTGCGTATATTATGATGAAAATATTGTACAAAACATTTTTAAAATACAAAAAATTATACTATGAATTAACAAATTATAAGCACATAATATTGTGTTTATGAAGTATAAATGCAATGGCGTAAAATGTAAATACGTTTAACAATACCAACGTTTAACGGTAGATACAGCCGAAAGGTCGTTTTAAAAATTAAGAATTATAAATTTATAAAGAACTATCTAAGAAATTCCACCGGACCAGAATGACTATCGGATGCCACTTAGGTATCGGATGCCATTAGAGGACATATAAATTTAATTTATTCCGAAAAGGAGAAGGGCTTTTTAAGTTGTTTCATTGGGGCCGCATTATTATAGTTTCGCAACTGTATAAATGTATTCTTTATAGAAAAAAAAATATATAATTGAGTATTAAAAAAACCTTTTAGGGTTAATAATAAAATATTGGAAATTATTATTAGGGTTGTAGCCTATTGTAGGTAAATACTACAATGTTATTACTTATTATCATAATCATCTAAAAATATTAGAGGGCTTAAGAGCCAACATTTTTTAAATTTATTTTTGAATTTTAGATACTGAGCGGAGCGAGGAAACTAGTGGTTTTACAATGGTGTTTGTTTAATCCTGTATACAAAATTTCTACCAGATATAGTGCTTCGATTTCAACATACCTATAGTATCTTATTTTTTACCAAATTTTATCAAGATGGTACTTTAGAGAGGTCATTTTCGATTTTCTCAATAGTTATTTAATGCCACGGGAAAAACAAACGACAAATTACAAAAAACCACTAAAAATGGGTTTATAATTTCTAACGCTTTGTTTATCACCATAGTAACATATAAAAATAATAATATTATGAAAATAATTCAACTAATAGGCTATAATAAATAATAATAATATAAAAAATCCAGACTGGCAAACGGTCTCCTCTCAGAATCGTTTTTCTTATACAATAATGATATTATATTATTGAATTCAAGTTGAATACAATCCATTATACATTGACCCACTTGTAACCTACTGTACTGCAGAGCGACATCCAATTACTCACTTTTTTTTAATAAATGAAGTTATAATGGAAATATTAGTACTATAAGTTATGGTCGCGGGATTTTGGGTTCTAGCATTAAAATTCAGGGGGCTGAGCACCATTACAACCACTGCGATTTGCACAAATGGTTACCATCAAACCTCTGGTAAAAATATGTTGTCTTGACAAATTTAAGCATTCAATTGAATCATCTAGGTATACAAAATGACAAAATGGTAGTTATAATAATATAACATTACACATATATTTCCAACCACAGTACCTACTCACTCAGAGAGTCTTTAGAATAAATAATACCTAGGTTTTTAGGTATAATTATTTTGAGTTAAGAATTCATAAAACTTTTCCTTTTTAAATCTAAGACTTTAAAATGTAATACAAGATTCCTTATAAGATTATCTACCTTTATCAAAAAAAAATTGTCTATAAGAAAGTCAAATTAAATTTTTATGAGAGTTTGAAATTCAAATTTTTACAACATTGGATATTCACTCGATTTCTCATGTAGCGATTTCCTTATTTTGTTGTAATTCAAAAACGAATAAATGTAGATACATGAAAATTTCACTGGATGTTTATATTAGCATTTCCTATACACCATACAATTTTGAAATATTTTGACTCTTTTTGAGCCGTTTACGGACATTTACAGCTTTCAATTTTTTTAGTTTTTTTTTCTATAAATTACAATAAAGTTTTATCTGTTGGGCCAAAAAGTGTAAAAATTTAATACAAGGCTTCTGATATATTGTTACAATAGCAATTGAAATATATTAAAAATACATAGGCACAATTTTTTTATAAGCATTAAAGATCGAATTTTGACAACATTTATCAAAATTAATCGAAAATTATCAATCATTGTAATTAATAAATTATAAAATGTTCAGTTTTTATAGCAAAGGATTGCTGGATATATGAACACAGTTAATTTTTACAGACATTTTAAATTCAAATTTGGACGAAATTACATAATAAAAAACCTAGAATAACTATTTTTGTTATTTTGTTGTGATTGTATAATATTATTCATGGGTACTTGAAACTTCTAAAGTATACTATTATATATCTATGATAGTGTCAGGGTTTGTTGTTGATGTATAACCTGTTATAAGTACCTAATAGATATTGTGATATGATATTCATTATAGGTCAATTTTTTTAATACCATAGATAAGTATATAATATGGCTTTTACCTAGAAGCACATACCGTCTAAGCTCAGAATCGTTTTTCTAATACAATGATATAATATCATTGAATTCAAATGTAATACCATCCATTATACAGTGACCCACTTGTAACCTACTGTACAGCAGAGCGACACCCACTTGCCCACCTTTTTTTTCTTGAGTACAGGGAAATTTTAAATTAGCCATTGTTGAAAACGTCGTTATTTTGTTTTCAAAATCGTTTATTAATAAAAATTCTTTGTCTTTAATCGTAAGTGTTGGAATACTAAGTAAAGCTTCTTGGGTTTCTCTCAAATTTGTGGGCAATGTTGGAGTATTTTTTGGTCTAGCTCTATATAAATTTTGTCTTTTATTTGAAATATCGTCGGTTTTAAGGTTGTTTGTTAAATGATTAGATATTTCCTTATTTATTGTTTTTAACGGCTTTTCTGTTAAATCGTCCATTGCTTTTCTTTTTACCTGATTTGATAAAATTTGACGTTCCAGGTTATTAGGAGCATGATGTTCATGTTTAATTTCTTTAAATACAATTGTAGTTACCCTCATCTACGTACAGCTTAGAGTTGCAACTTTTGTGTGAGCACCGCCATTTATGCCCTTTTTTGGTAAGTTCCGTATAAGAAAATTTATAATTTTGGTAAATAATTAGTTCTTTACCAGGTTCATTTAATACTATTTTCAATTTAAATTTAAGCACGAGCCACTACAACTAAACGAACGACTAAACGAATTGTACTGCACAATACTATGGATTTACCTATTACCCAACACGGTATTTGTCTACATTTTGTAATTTGTTTTATATTCAAGTAATAAAATAACATAATTGAAACTTACCTATGATATTGATATATTAGATTAAAACACGTAAAAACCGATTTATAGTTATAATAGAAATAGTATTTTAGACGTTTATATATATTTAAGAATCGATCAGCGTAATTTTTGACGTACCTAAACTAAACCATATATGACATTCAAATATGGATCAGCGCAATATTGACGTACACAATTTATAACATTGGAATATCAGTTAATGTATAAATTTTTCCTATCCCATAATTGTTCTTTCTTTACCTGCGATTTTCGGCGTGATTGGTATATGCACAAAAAAATAGTTTACAATTCAACCCTATTCGGTTGTATGCCAGTTTTGTAAAGGATATTCACAATAGGTCCATTTCAATGCCCCCCCTCCCCACTTTTGAAATTTGAACTTCTGACCATGCCAAATGTTTGTGCATTGTTTGTGGAGATGCCAGCTTCTTCTACGCTTACTAATTAATAGTAAATAATGAGCTCAGAACCGAAAGATGCTATCTCAAAATATGAAATTGTTCAGGAGAGCCGTACAACTTGAAACTGTATTATCTTTTTTTGTAACGAATGATTTTTATTTTTAATAATTAACAAAGTTGTTATGCGTTAACACTAGCAATATGTTTTATTTTGCTTAATGTGAAAAAACAAAACTAAAAAAGATCCGATAGGAACCAAAAAGATCTTCAGATAGAACTTTTTAGTTGTTAATATAATTGTTTTCACTTAATTGGAACTTTTTTATTCTAAATTAAAGTTATTTTTTTACTAAAACGTTCCTAACCTCTAAATAATAAAAAAAATGCGGCATTGGCTTTTCATTTAAATAGGTACCTATTTACAATATGTACCTACCCGTGGAGGGAGGGGGTTAAGAGGCCGTCCTAGTAAAAGTGAAACGAATGCAA